TAGCACTTAGAATATTTTTGTACAACTACATATCCACATTTTTCAAGGTCTATGTTCTATATTTACATTTTAAGAGCCATAATCTTCAACAAAGCAAATGTACAACTAGAGTGTCTTGAACAAAAGTTAAAGAAAATCTAGGGAGAAGTGATACATGTAAGCAATTGTGTGCACAATTGCCTAACACCTGATGAAGTATCGGTTTGAGATATAGTTGAAAGTATTGTTCTTGCTTCCAAAAGCCCTTCTGAAATACTTTGCACAATCACTTCCTCACTTGCCATTAATGATGCTAGTAACTTCCCACCACCCATCCTTTCCTACTCCATATTTCACATTTTTATAAACCAGAGTTCATCTTTCACTAGCATAAATGCAAGAAATAGCAACCTACTTCCATTTCTTTATGAAAATAGGATACTATAATCAATGGAAGTACATTGCTATTTCTTGCATTTAACCCATTTTCATTTTAACAATGAGTTATCTTTTCTTTAACACAAATAGTAAAAAGATATTTAAGGTGAAAAATACCATTTCGGAACCATTCTTTAGAGATTCCAAGGAGACTTTAAGAAGATCTGAAGAAAACGGAAGCACAACGGATTTCAAATGGTACACAATGGAGAAAAGAACCTGGATGCATGCAGATCTGATCTCAGGTTCCTTCACATTCTGTTAATAAAAATTATAATATTAGAATTAGTAAACCCAATAATAGCAATCTATCCAATTATGAGGAGGGTATTTACGTCTTTTGCAGAAAGGAAAGAAGGAACAACTTGCTTACACCAAAAGAGCGAGTAATTCGCGGGAGAGTTTTGAAAGCAAAGGGTTTCTTGCCAGAATCTGAAATCTTCTGACAAGCACTGATGAGGACATTTGCCATGCATAATCGAAATGATAGCATCTGATTTCTTGACATATTTTTGGAAGAAATTAATTTTAGGTCTTCACAAGTCAATTGGTCAAGAACATAAGCTTGAAATGTACAGGTGTCATTATTTTTCAGTAGCTTCAGATCTTGAAGCTCGGAACACACGGCTATTGCAAGACAATCGATACATCCGTGTTGTGCTTTTGAAACTGAAATAGAAATAAATAATTAAATGTTTACTGAAAGGAATTTAGAAAGTTTTGTAATAAATAAAGGGAAATTAAATACTTACTTTCGTCTTTGTCTGTTGATGGCCATAAAAGAACAGTTTCTATTGATTCTTTGATTTGGGACATCATGCATGGATGACTAACTGACTCCATGCCTCTAACCTACACACCCATAATAAACAAAAATTGGAAAATATATTTTCAACATGAATGAATTAAAAGTTAGAAACTGAAAGTGATTGATGGAAATGTATATAATTTTAACCACTAGGGATGTGCAAATTGAGAAGAGACAGGCTTTTATCTTCAGTATATCATGATCATTTGTAGCACTTTCTAGTTCAGATGAAACAAATGGAAAGAGAACCTGCACACAGCATATGATAACTATATGACAATTTGTTTCTTTTTGACTTAATGAGACTTAATAAAGAATAATGTGCAATATACATTGGGATGAAGTCGCCCACAGAGCTCAGCTGATAGTTTTCTCACATCTTCAAATTCAAGCTTGTTGAATGCCCTGAAACAGTTTACTTTTATTAACAATGATTATTTCTGATTTGATGTTCAAAAGTAAGATGACAGTTTTTTTACCTTTTGAGAAGGAGAGCTGCAATACACTGAGAGTTGCTGATGTCGATTCTAGTATCTGGAGAAGGGCACAACGGTAAATAAGGAAGAAAGTGAAAGTGTTAAAAGAGTTTTTTTAAAAGACACAATGCTTACTATTTTGGCTGAGAAGATCACCATAAACAAGGGAGGATTTGAGGTTGTTAAAAACTTTTAATGGAAGAAGGCGTATGATAAGCAGTGGACAAAGTCGATCAAAGAGAGAATGTTGCAGTTTTATATCATTTTCTGTAGGGGATATGTTAAGTTCACTCAAGAAGCTTTCATCAATTCTGCAAGAAAAGAAATAAGGTTAAAGAAATCAATTAATTAACATAATGACATGAATACTTAAGGATGATATATATACTCTGTTTGTGATTCTGTATATAATAGAATTTGTTGGAAGACTAAATGAGATTCTCCTGCTAACTGATCACTTATATAACTTAGAAACTTCACAATAATCGGATTTGATGACTCAGCAAACATCTTGTCTACTAATGGTCCCACCAATAATTTCCAATTTGTGACCTGAAACAGATCAGAAATATAATAAAAACAATAATAGAAGAAAATAATCGAAAAACATTTAAAAGGATTTTGGTATTTAATCTTACAGATCTTGACCACTCTGGTATCAACTTGAAAACTCTATCAGCATCCCCCTTTATTCCCTTCTGATGATCTGAGATTGCATTGAGATTACTGTGGAGAAGGAAATGATGAAAAATAGAAACAACAATTATTATCATTATTGATATTTTAAATGCTAAATCACTCAAAAATAGTACCTCATAAAATCTAACAGCATTAAGATAACCTCTGGTTTCTGGTTGTTGTATGTGAGTATGTCAAGTAATGTGGTAGCAACAGATGAATGTACTGTTGCATCTGATGAGTAAACCAGACTTACTAATGCAGGCAATGTTAATGAAGGATCTACAGAAAAAGAAAAAGAAATTTTTTAATGATAATAATGAATTTACAAACAATAGTAAATTAGAAAAACTAACCAATAAGTTTTAGTAGTTTGGTTGCATGTGCACGAATTATATCTTCTTCATCTTTGAGACAATCAAGCAAATGGTTTGCTATATCCTGCCTGCCACAATTAATTATGTTTGGGAATGAAAATTGTTCAAGCACAAATAATAACCAAAAAACTAGTAATAATTGCATGTTGCATACCAAACTGAATGTGAAAGTGTAGCTTCTGAATGTGATGAAATGTGGATGACTTCTGAAAGAACATCTAAAGCATTCCTTCTTTGACCAATATTTTCACTAGCAAGAAGCTTTAGAATTTCTTCAAGGCAGTATTTATCTGGGCTCCTGGTAAATAATTAAATATGTCAAATCTAAAAAGCAAGAAATAGCAATGTACTTTCATTTCTTCCTATTACAACATTCTACCTAATAAGAAAAAAGTTGAAAGTACAATGCTATAAGAGGTAAGATAGAAAACTTAAAACTTAAAAACATACATGGAACAATATTCAGCAATTAATGTTACAACAGCTTTGGCTGTAGCATCACGTTCATCCAAAAGATTTAGTAGTAAAGGCAACATGGAATTCATCTGTTTAGTGTCTGTAAGATTGTGCCCTAATGCAAGATGATTTGTTCCAAAGATGATTGCTTTTAGAATTGAAATAGCACCATCAATCACATCATCATCAGCTGAAGAAAGCTGAAGAAAAGTCAATATATTAGCATAACAATATAACATGAACTACATACCAGTCAATATATATATATATATATATGAAATAATATAATTGCTCAAAAGGATACCTGTGATGTAACAACACGAGTAATATCCAGCCTGTGTTCTGCCATGGCAGTATCAAATTGCTTTGAAGTAAAATGCCCTAAGAGAAGTAATAAGCAATTTATGAAGAAATTTATGGTTGCTATTCCACTCTCCTTATTGTCAATGTGATCTGTGGTGTAGTTCCCTGCATAATACTGTGTAACTTGTTTGTCAAATTGACATAGGTGATGAGATTGTTAGGTTATGTAGAACAAGTTGGAGGAAGAGATGATTTAAGAAAACACAAAGCTCTACTTTTAGAGTGTGTGTATTGATATTGAAGGATGAAGAGATAGATGCGACTTTGGAATATGCCAATGTGTATAAGCCAACACTCTACATTGAGGGTGTGTGTATTTATATTATTCATGTAGTGTTCTCAAGAGTTATACCATAATGTATTGTACATCCACAAATATTGTATAGACAATGGATATTGTTTATGAGATGTAATAAAAAATATAGAAAGGAGAATACTGCTTTTTCAAGTTAATTATTACACACTTTTGACTAATATAGAAGGTTTGGATGACCTACCTAACATGTGGTAGATAAAGAATTTTCCAATGTAATTTATGTCTCAAAATATTTATTTAAAATGTTATAATTTTCATCCGTTTGAAACAACTTTAGTAATGAATAATGATAAGTGCTGTGTGTCATGATTTTTTATTACTACATCTATATGTATAATAGAAGTTTAGTTTGACAGATGTTTGTCTAGGTTAAACATGAACTTTTTTATATTTTCAAAAAACCCTCATATTTTTAATATTATAAAATAGGGTTATTTCTAATAACATATATTTGTAAATACTTTAACTGCATTCGCCTAGTTTGAGTTATATCTAACCTCAATTCCAGACAAGTATTGATCCAGCAATTCCTTATGACAATTAGAAAGCCGATGATCTTCCAAATGCAGAAGAATCCCATAGTGTTTCCAACAAGATGAGAGAAGCAAAATTCCCGTTTTAACCTTCTGTGAACCTGTCTTACAATAGATAAATGATCAGGATAGCAGGTGCAAGAAAGTAAATTCACTCATGATGATGAAAGCAGTTAGTTACCTGTCTGATCTTGAGAAGAATGATAGTCCTCTTTTGTCTCGTGCAACCATTTGAGAACTCTTTCCAATCCTTTTGCATGCAAAGATCGACTTTTCCTGCTCCACTGAGTTATACATAAATCATAACAGAGAAATCAAAAGTGAGACAACTACTGGAAATTAAGTGAAAAAAAGTTGAGAACATACTGCAAGGAGTCTCTGCACAAGTGGAATGAGCTGATCAAGAAGATTCCAAAGCAACAAGCTTTTGTCCACATCCTTTGTGAATTCAGAAACTGGACTGATTGGCTTTGCTGTTCTATGAACACCAATAGCTCCTACTGATATCTGTGGATGTTTGGATGGTTTTTTAATGTTCTCTAAAGTGTCAGATGGTTTCTCCTTTCTTGTTAATGCCACACTAAGGGCTATTACACAATCTGCAGCAGCCATTGAAAGACGAGTTGGTAACTCAAATCCACCCTGCAAAGTACTACAAAACAAATATCAAACCATAAACGTTGGATAATCCAGCTAAATCTGAGAAGGATGCAGTGCAAAATGCAAATATGTTTATACTTTATACCTCCCACTGTTGATTAGAGACAATAGATGTGTGCTGCATGTGCACAAAGTCTCCAAGAGTCCAGTGTACCTTTCCTTTATCCCTGCAAGAATAAAAAGAAGAAGAAAACAACGTGTAAACAACTTGTTCTTCATTTATGATATATTGGTGTTGATAGAAAGGGTTTTGTGACATTACCAGTTGTTGAAAACTTGCTCATAGTCACTTCATACTCTATGAGACGACGTGAAAGGATACACCAGCCTAAGGCAATATAATGGTCATCTTTCCTCACCACAATGTCAGAAAAGCTTCTTGCTAAAGCTTGAAAAAGAACTTCATCTTGAAAGAGCCAATTGAGAAGAATCAACTCCTGGTTCTTGTTTCTCGACTCCTTACTTCTTAACGACTGAGACCCCAAACAATAAAGAAGTTATATACATCTTTTTTGTCCATGTAACATCGATAATTTCTATCAATTGAGTTTGGTTTTACTTCAAAATTGAAAGAGCAATAGCATTCAAATAGTTGTATTTACATGTTCAATCATGGGAATCAGAATTTCATCCAGAGAACCTTCATTTTCAGCTCCATCCCTAACATATTTGTGAAGAATCCGCAACGAGTTCTCCAACGAAACTACATAAAACAGTCATAGTATTCGAATCAGAACTTCAGCAATCAGCATTGCCTACGATAATCGCAGATGACTAACCTACTTGTGTTAAAATTTTGAATTCCACAATTTTTTTATCACAAAGCCAGGGGATAATAATATGGTAACACAAGAAAGATAAAAACTCACAAACAAGTGGATTAGGAGGGTTGAGAGATGATTGAAGGCGAGAAATGGAGTCGATGAGCTTAGTAGGTCGAGCAGTAAGAAGGGTTGTCATAACTCGGCCCACCGCCGCCGAAACCAATGATTCTTCCTCCTCCGACTTCCATATGCTTTTGTGTTCTTCAATTTCCATTGGGTGTGCCAAGAAGCAAATGTCTTCGCCTTCGGAGAGGTCTTGAACAATGAACACTCTAACGTCTGAATAAATTTTAGGAAATTATCACTGAAGCCCCTTAACTTTGAAGAAATTCAGTTATAGTACCCAAACAAAGTATGTATTTGCCCTCTAGTTGTTAATTCTTATTGAAAAGGAGGAATTCCATTCCATTAAAATCACAAACAGATCCAAAATTACCAGAATAATCTTTCAAATCACTCTATTGATTTTCATCCAAATTGCAAGAAATGAGCAACAAACTCATCTTTACAAATCAACAACAAAATCGAATTCTATAAATCATAGGGCTTCAATCAATTTTGTGGTACCGATTAATCTCCATTTAAGCTTTTCTTTCAAGTTGGATTGTTGAAGTTGAAGTGTTTATAGCCATAAAAAAATCGACATTTCAAGGTTAGCATATCTTCATGTTATAATTTCACTTATTTTTTTATTGGGTTTGTATTCTTGGTGCTTCTAGAATGAAATTTGTGGTACATATTCATTGAGTTTAGTTTACCAAATCACATATTGGGATGTAAATGTATTTTATCATATGAATGAATTTTTTAAACAAATGGATAGTTAGATTATGAATAAATTTATTGATAAAAAACGGATACAGTTACATTTATTTTGAAGAATATGGTTGTTTATATTTGAGTTAGTTAAAAAACTAACAGTTGTTTGTTTTAATTTTCTTCAGTTAGATACATGAATAATTGTTGATATGTGTGATCATTTTTGAATTTGTTAGGCTATAATGTAACAAGCGATGCATTGTTTTCTGTTAAACCATATTCTTTTGGTTGGACTTTGGTAAACTCTAGTGTGATCACCAGAAAGAAAATTCGTGAACTTTGTTGATGGTGTTCTGAAACCTTAGCTTGCATGGCAAATATTTTTCCTGTGTAAGACAACCTTTCCAAGTGTTGCATTTGATATCAGAATTCTTATTTAAGCTAACATTTCCATTTTTCGTTGAATTGATGGTTTTGAAGTCAATTAAGATAACATGAACTCAACTTGCAGGAGTGATATGATCAAACTCTTCTATACTTGAAAAGGTAAGAATTTTTAAGCCTAAAAATCAATAAAATGCTCGAATAAGATTACCAATAATACATCAAACATCTTTCAAATACTTATTCAAATCATCCCACGGTACCAAAAATCACAAAGTTTGGAATTCTATTCCACTATGGAATCTTTAATTCCATTCATAGTGTTTTCTGTTGGATAGAGCTTAGTGTTCGGATAATGATTGAATAGTTAGATAACGTAGATGAGTTTGTTGTATAGTTATCTAGGTCCTAATTTCATGCAATATAGTTATGTGTAAAGCTTATATATACTTGTACCCTGTATCATATGGAAGTAATGAAAAATCGGAATTTAATTTCCCAATCTTGTGTTATCAGATTCACATGGTATCAGAGCATACCCCATCACAGCTCTGAAACCGAAAACTTGTAAACCTCTCTCGTTACCATGGGAGAACCTTCCAACCCGTCACAAGTAATTGTGCAGAACGTACAAGATGCACCATTCCCTTCCGGTGTCACTCTTGATGAAACGAACTATCCGCTTTGGTCTCAGTTAATGGAGATGCAGATTGGAGCCCGAAACAAATCCGGTTTCCTTACCGGAGCTACACGAAAACCCACATCCGATGAAAAGAAGATCGAAGCATGGATTATCGACAACCAGAAGGTGAAGAGTTGGTTGATCGACTCGATGAGTCCACCATTGATGCGTAGGTTTATTCGCTTACCAACCGCGGCTGAAATATGGGAGGCGGTCGGAAAAACCTTCTATGACGGTACAGATGAAACACAACTTTTTGAGTTGAATAGAAGATCATTCACCACGCAGCAAAGTGGAAGACCCTTATCAACTTATTTTAATGAGTTGGTAAGCATCTTTCAAGAGATTGATACCCGCTTAACTGCGCAAGAGGAGACTGTCGTGCAAACCCTAGCCTTGAACAAGACGTTATCTCGTCTACGTGTGCACATATTTTTGGCGGGTCTTGATCCGGAATTCAACCTGGCGCGAAGTGAAGTACTCAGAAAAGATCCACCGTTGGATCTTGACTCGTGCTACGCATACATCCGCAAGGATCAAAGCCAAAGGAAGGCAATGGAGGAACCGAAACTTGAATCGGAAAATGATGTCCACATGGCATCTCGAAACCGGAACTCGAAAGAAAAGAAGTCGAATGGAAAGGGGAGCACGCTTCAGTGTACACACTGTGGTGAAGATGGTCACTCAAAATCCCGATGTTACGAAATAATCGGGTACCCCGACTGGTGGGACTTCACGAAGAAGCCGAGGAAGAAGATCGCACAAGCTACAGTGGCAAGTTCATCACAACCCGACGAGCTCGCAAACTCTACAGTTCCGATGGCTGCCCACACGTCAACAAATACCGGTATGTTCATTGATAATTGTGATAGAAATAATCGGTGGATCATTGACTCAGGAGCCACCGATCACATGATGAATAATTCAGAAAATATGATTACTTTTTCACAAAAAAAGATAAATATACAAACTGCGAATGGAGGTATAGCCCCAGTAACCGGTGAAGGTTCTGTAAAAATTTTGAACTCCATTGATCTCGATAAAGTTCTTGTAGTACCATCATTATCATCAAACTTATTATCCGTTAGTCAGATTACAGAAGCCCTCAACTGCTATGTAATTTTTTGGCTGAATGATTGCGTTTTTCAGGATATTGCAACACATCGGATTCTTGGTTATGGTACTAGGCGTGGAAGATTGTACTATCTTGAAGAAGGTTGTCAAGGTCAAGCAAATCACGTGGGAGTTAGTCAAACGAATAAGTCTGTAGCATGGTTGTGGCACCGAAGGCTAGGACATTTATCTTTTGAATATCTTAGGAAACTTAAGCCGAATTTATTTTTAAATGCAAAGGATAGTGACTTTAAATGTGGAACTTGTGAATTAGCAAAGAACAAGAAGATTTCTTATGTTTCTAGTAATAATAAAAGTTCTATTCCTTTTGCAACTATACATTCCGATGTGTGGGGGCCGGCCCGAATTTCTACACCTAGTGGTGCTTTATATTTTGTGACTTTTGTTGATGAGTGCACACAAATGATTTGGATCTCACTTTTGAAACAGAAAAGTGAAGTGTTTTATGCTTTTAAGGAATTGCATCATATCGTCAAATCCGTTTATAGAAAGGAAATTCACACACTTCAATCTGATAATGGAGGAGAGTATGTGAATTACCATATGCAACAATTTTGCAAAGAAAACTTCATCCGTCATCAAACATCATGTGCGGGAACACCACAACAAAACGGATTTGCAGAAAGAAGAAACAGACAAATAATGGAAATTGTTCGAGCTTCTTTGTTTGACATGAATGTTCCCCGAGAATATTGGGGGGAGGCCGTGAAATCTGCTAAGTATCTCATGAATAGAACCCCCTCCCGTGTTCTAGAATTTAAAACCCCGCTACAACGAATGCATGAGCTCGTAGATATACCACTCCACAATGGCCTCGAACCGAGAATTTTCGGTTGTACGACATATGTACATCAATCCACTGGGAAACTTGAACCCCGAGCAAGCCGGTGTATTTTTTTAGGGTATGCCGACCTCAAAAAAGGATATAGGTGTTACGATCCTATATTGAAAAAATTATATGTGATTCGGGACGTGTCGTTTCATGAGACGATTCCTTATTTTGGTAACGTGTGTCCGATTCAGGGGGAGAATAACAAGGAATCGAACCCACTGTGTAACAATGAAATAAATGATGGACCAGATTTTGAGGTTCATGAAAACGATTTTGAAGTTGATCCGACATTTGTTGATCATGAATTCGAGGAATTTAATGAGGTGGAGACGACATTTAATGATGATAATCAAGATAGTACAATCTCCGCTGACATAGATACCGGATCCGACACCATAGCAGACCCCGAAACTGCGAACATTCCACCTGATAATACTAACATAAACAATTATACTTCTGACTCTGTTTTACAGGGAACAAATGAGGCGACACAAACCCGCTTTCCGGTGAGAAGTAATCGAGGTGTACCGAGAAAACAATATGATCCAGATTTAATGGCGAAAGGCAAGTATCCGATCAGCAATTATGTGTCAAAACATCGTCTAGCCGAACCACATGCACATGTTGTTGATAAACTCGAAAAAATACACATACCACGGGACATAGGTGAAGCAATGAAAGATGAAAACTGGAGAAAGGCCGTGAACGAAGAGATGCGGGCCTTGCTAGGAAATGATACGTGGGAGTATGTAAATCTCCCTCCAGGGGTGAAGACCGTAGGATGCAGGTGGATTTTTACAGTTAAGCTAGACTCAAATGGTAATTTAATTCGCTACAAGTCACGTTTAGTGGCTAAGGGTTATACACAAAAGTATGGAATAGATTATGGGGAGACTTTTGCACCCGTGGCTAAGATTAATACAATCCGTATACTAATATCAATTGCTGCCAATCAAGATTGGACCTTAAAACAATTTGATGTGAAGAATGCCTTCTTAAACGGATACTTGGATGAAAAAGTTTACATGGATCTACCACCCGGGGTGAAGTGTGTTGGGAAGGTATGCAAACTAACGAAGGCACTCTATGGACTGAAGCAGTTCCCACGAGCTTGGTTTGGAAGGTTTTCTACCTTCATGAAGAAGATCGGGTACAAGCAGAGCGATGCAGATCATACATTGTTCGTAAGAAACAAGGATGGCAAGGTAACGGCTCTTATAGTGTATGTGGATGATATGGTTGTTACTGGCAATGATACAAACGAAATAAAAAGGCTTCAAGAAGTGTTGTCCACTGAATTTGATCTTAAGGATCTTGGACAACTCAAGTACTTCCTAGGAATTGAAGTGGCAAGATCACAGGCGGGGATTTCTATGTGTCAACGGAAGTATGTCCTTGATTTACTAGCAGAGACAGGTATGCTAAATTGTAAGCCAGCTGAAACTCCAATTGAAATGA